CATCAAACAATGCAGGTTAAATATACAAATCTATCAGCAGAATATATACATATGTTGTGGCCAATTTGGAAAATTGGTCCGTTTATAAAATGGCCGGTCAATTATTGTTGGCCTCGCAGGTACACGAAGACTCATGCCATATAGGAATGGATATTAAATGGGTTATGAGAAGAACATCCCTAGTCGAGACTCCCGGACAAAGTCCCACGAGACTTTTTTAAAAAATCCGGCGGGAGTCTCAGTAAAATCCCGAAAAGTCTAAACAAAATTGAAAAATGTCCCGCAAGAGTCCAGGCAGGATTCAAATCTCGACAAGATCAGGTCAAGATCGCAGCGTGATCGCGACAGGATAACAGCAACATTGTAACTGAATCTGTAACTTGAATTAAATTGTAAGAAAGTCTTGTAGTGAAAATAACGAAATGTTGTTTTAAATATTCATAACTTTCGTTAATTGAGTCTTTTATTTACATGACAAGTTTCAATCAGTCATTTATTCTCCGAAATCTATTTTTCATACATACTGCTAAAAATTTAAGAGCCATCGCGGCTATCATGTTAAGAATTTTAATAAAAGTTTTAATAAAAATAATAAGAAATTAAAAAGAAATCTTTTTAATTTCTTATTATTTTTATTAAAACTTTTATTAAAATTCTTAACATGATAGCCCAATGGCTCTTAAATTTTTATTTTTAATCTTGCCCATAAACTCAAAAAACGTTATACTTACTACTGGTTTCTATTCTATAACTGTTGATTGTAAATAATAAATTTTACGAAGACAAAGTATATATTTTATGAAAAAAACGAAAATATAAGTTATCCGACTTCGTATATCAACAAAGACCCTATTCTAATTAAATGTCTTTAGTTTGTTTCTTAAGATAGTCAAGAAACCGGTTTCACTATGTTTTATCCGGTTTTCTCTTCGGGAACATAGTGCAATCAAGGTGAATCATTCACGTCAGACTCGCTTCGAGGTTGAGCTGAAAATAAGTACACAGCAATTTTATTTGTACACACGCTCTAGCTTTCTCGAATTCTTCTTTACTTGTCATGGGAATTATGCTAACGGTCTTTTGAACTTTAGAAAAATTTTGACTGATATTATATACCATTAGAACTTTTTCCGAGGAGGAAACAGCGGATTTTAAAGGTAGTCATTAGCGGTGTTTTTGGTTCTTGGAGCAATTTTGGCGTACCTTTGTAGTAAAGTAGATGCCAATTGAATAACCACTGAGAATTTCAAAAAATTGACTTCGTGGCGACCTAGATAGATGTCTTTTATTGTTTAAAACTAACCCGAATCATTTTGCTTGTAACGCAGGTGCAAAATCCTGCACCGACTAAATGCTATCTTTTCGACTCCAAAGTTTTAATATCTCACCGATAGACGAATGAATTAGGCTGAAACTTGGTATTTTTACGTTTGGCACTCATAGAAGTGACAATTCCTAGCTTCGCTGCGAAGCCAGGCTTTTCAAGCCATCCCACTTGGGTGCGAAGTTGGATAAGCAGATTTTGATTATTTGTATAATAAATTAACAAATAATTGGAAATCCATTGATGAATTAGGACAAGGTTTATTAATGTGGAAAACATTATATGAATTAAGTACATCAAATGAATTAAAAGATATAGCTAAAAAAATAATTATTATGAAATCAACAACTTTATTAAATTAAGGTAAATTATTATTAGATGGTGAATTAGAAAAACAAAAACAATTAATAATATCAAATGGAAATATGAACAATGCTGATATATATTTAAAACAATTTATTCAACAAGGTAAAAGTAAATTAGAAAATTTAACAACACGTCTTGTACGTGAAGCTAATGATGAATATGATAATAATACACAGAAATCATATTTTATTGATATGAAAGAAAGAATAAATAAAAATATAGAACCATCAATACGTTGTAATCAACAATTATTAGTACAACGATTTGAAGAAGATTCATATACAATAGCACAAACAAATGCAACAACACATGTACAAAAACAATTATTAGATAGTGCGAAACAATATTTTGATAAAGAAACAAGAACAAAAACTAATATAAATGAATTAGAAAATGCATTAAATAAAAAACATGATGAATTAGCTAAAGAATTTCGACAAAGTATAAATTCATTCAAAAAATCACAGAATGATGTTACACAAACAATATTAAATAATTATAATCGTTTAGTTGAAGGAAGACGTGGTACAGCATTAAAAACAGATATATATAATCGTTGTCCAACATTAGACATTGATAAATATCATACTTATTGTCATGGATTAAATATATTATTTGATAAGGAAGTCAAATATAGAAACATAATTATAGTTATATTTGGTAGTCATGGTAAGATATTGTACCACGACTACATAATTCAGAGCAATTGAGATCAGTTTATGCCTATTGTATGGACCAGCAATGAAAAATAGGCAAAAGGATTTACGAAAGTGAGAAGTGAGAATTTTTTTTCTTTTATAGCGTGTAGATAAGCTGATTACAAGTATAGTAGTGCTATACAAATAGTGTCATTTCATTGCCTCTTCTTTCATTTTGTTTACTTTTTTCGTTTAGTATTTCGATATGAGTGTGTAGAATTTATACAGTCTTTATGGGAACATTCTGGTCCTGAGTGTAAACCTCATTTATGTTAGTGTTCTCTTCTCTTGGTTGACTGAACGATAAAAGAAACTGAAGTAAGAATATTTGTCTAGCTGGCTGATTGGATTCACGTAAGGGGCAGGCTTTTATCGTTCAGTCAACCAAGAGAAGAGAAGACTAGCATAAATGAGGTTTACACTCAAGACCAGAATGTCCCCATAAAGACTGACTGTATAAATTCTACGCACTCATGTCGAAATACTAAAAGAAAAAAGTAAAAAAAATGAAAGAGAAGAAGCAATGAAGAGTAAAGAAAAGTAAAATGAAGTATGATGTTGTTGTTAGACATGGACGGGACGGTCCCGATTCCGACAGGACTGGGATTGGGACTAGGCACAAGAGAACTAGTTCCATAAAAGCACAACTTTCGTTGTAGAATCAAATTCTAATGTGAGTTTCAAACTCGTTTTACTGTCAAATTTTTTCTTGCAAGGCCTTAGAAAGCTCTACAACGCAGTACAATAGTAAAAAGCCGTATTGAACTTTCGACCAGCAGGGGAAAATTTTTTCATGTTCTATGGCCAAAATTTTCATCGGAACCAAACAATTTGCTACGGAAACAGGACCAAAAAAGGCTGGTTCCACCCATCTCTAGTTGTTGTACGTATAGAAAAAGAGGAAGATGAAAGAAAACAACAATAATAATACTGGACGGATAAATAAAAAGAGATATAACCTTGATATCCACGATTATCTATGACTATGTTTGAATGCTGTATAAAAATTTTTAAATAACGTCAAGTGAAGTTTTAGTTTATGCCTAAAAATGCATTATTTAGCACATTGTGATAAATCTCACTTGTCATTTTTCTACGTTCGCTTATTCCTTGTATTTCTGAAAAAAATTATTAACTTTCCTGTTTTTCGAAGGGGAAAAATCCTCTCCTGTTCCTGTTTTTTAAAAGTGGATGGTACGTACCTGTCCTTTAAATAATAACACTAGAGCCGTTTTGGACAAGTTTCTCGATATCGATGCCTCGATTGATAATTACGATGAAAGTACCGAAGAAACTGATGAGAACAATGCTATAGATGAACTAATGATGAATTAGCTGAAGCTGAGGATCACTAACAACTAGAAATTCCTATAGTGCATTAGTCATCGTGTACCTGCGAGGCCAACAATAATTGACCGGCCATTTTATAAACGGACCAATTTTCCAAATTGGCCACAACATATGTATATATTCTGCTGATAGATTTGTATATTTAACCTGCATTGTTTGATG